CTATTTCTCCTTAAATAGAAGGATGCAACTTACAATGAGCGTAAAGCACAGTCCATATTTTACTATCTTAATTCTCCAGCATGGATATGCTTCAGTAATAGAATACTGACTTTTGGTAACAGCAAATAAATTGGGCAGAAGACTAAATTGTATTGAAAGGACAGAGTATTGAAAGGTTGGTCATAGGTATACTGTTAAGCAGCATGTGACAGGAACCAACACAGACAAATGATGTGGTTATTTTCATTTGCCTTGGTGAGACGAGATCTTGTTAAGAAGGAGCTGTCCTCTTTTTCCCTGTCTTCTGTTCTTCCTGCAGCCTAGGTATACTGTTAAGCAGCATGTGACAGGAACCAACACAGACAAATGATGTGGTTATTTTCATTTGCCTTGGTGAGACAAGATCTTGTTAAGAAGGAGCTGAAGTCCTGCAGCACTGAACAGGCCAGGACAGCTTGCCTCTACCAGCCAACGTCTGTACAGGTTTTACCAAGCAGTTTAATTCACAGTGAAGCCAATCTGATACCGGCACTTGTAAAGGAACCACTGACACCTGGTCCGAAGGCTGAGTATACAACATGTTTCCATTACATCAATGCACAAAATATCAGTGTGAAACTCCTGGAAAAACACCTAACATAACTTTCTAAAGGACATAAAATAATTTCCCTTTGCTATACTGAAGGCCATTTAAAAAAATAATTTTGAAGCAAAACGGCCTATTTCTGAAAGAAAATTTCCTTCCACATCTATTTTGAATTAATGACAGGAGAAGAGCCTGCAGATTTATTAAACAAAGCAATTGCCTAAGAAAGCAAATAGACAGAATATAAAAACATTAAAAAAATATAGCTTTAACAGATATACCTCATTAATTTATTTTGGCAAGTAAGATTATTTGTAATGATTCATCACAGTACTTTGTGGCATATTAACAAACAAATCAGTAAATATTTAATACTATATTTTATAAAAATGATGTTCAGTCTGAATAATAAGCTAATCTAATGAACCTGCTGAGATGTTGGAAAAGACCACCATTTTTTTGGTGCCAACTATAAGGCATTCAGATACAGTAACTGCAGGTTAACAAGACCATATTGTGAATTACTTGAGCATTCAGAGTCTGGGTAACCTGACACAGTTTCTCATACCTAAGCCTCCAACAAGTACTGCATCCTTGGGTAGCAACTATACTCGCCTCACAAATTCACAGCAGCATACAAAAGCTAGAAAGCTGTGCTCACTTACAAACTGTTCAATATTTTATCAGGGCAGGAAACTTTCTATGAAAAGATGATGAAGTAATGGGCACCAGTTCAATATCTCATCCTCTTCATTTCTAAATTATGTTATTTTGTTATGCGGTTATTTCATGTTAGGAGTATTAAAACACAACTACCAAGGGAATGAACAGGATAAGTACTAGAAGCTTTAATATTCAATTATGCAACCACTTACATTTTCAGCTAGGTCCTGAAGATGACTTATCTCTTCTGCAAAACTGCACCAATGAAATCAAATGACTGCCCTGACCATAGTTACCTTTTCCTTCCCACAGAAGGATATATTCCCATTGCTTTATTATCTGCACACATCTCCAAACTTGTATGCCCAAAGTTAGACCTTTAAATCCACAATAAAAACTGAAGCAGTAGCTTGATATTTGGAAGTACAAAGCATTCTTGCTAGGACAAGAAAGCTGCAACCTGTGCTTGTTTCATTGGTTTTTTTAATGGCACCAGTTCTGAAATCCTGATGAAGCATACCAGTTCTCCCTCAGAATTTCAGAGGACAGTCTTCCATATGTTTCTTCTTCATAATCACAATTTATGAAGTTCTATACCTGGCTGCATAGTCGTCTGGGCACATCAGCATTTGGACGCCTATACTACAGCATCACAATGCCTTGAGATGTGACAGTCATTTTCCTTTCATCTGGCTTTTCATAGGTGGTGAGACACAGTCAGAATACATAAATTAATAAGATGCTTACCAGTGGTCTTCTAAACTGCTAAAAGTAAGTTAAGGGTTTCTCTTGTGATCTGGGCTTGGATTTCACAATAACTGCATACATGATCTAAATTTTTTTACCATCAGAAATGGGCAGGAGACCTCTGGCCAAGCTCTTTCTGACAATGCCTGTCCTCAAGAGATACTGCCTTCCCCTTCATCGCATGGCCTGGGGACG